GACAGCCCCACATAGCAAATAATTATCTATAATAATAAAAGCATAGTATGCTAATTAGATCAGACATCCTTCTGGACGTCCTTCCTTCTGGACAAAGCTGCAGCAGGTGGGAACCTCGGCAGAGGCAGCAGAGGTCCCCGGCCATGGGGGCAGCGGGTGGGGGCCAGGGCCAAGGCCCTTGCATGAATTTCATGTATCGGGCCTCTAGTCTGTTATAAAATGTCGCAGTGCCAAGGGCACAAAATCCCAATTTAGAGGGACCACCCTGGCTTTCCGCCTCCAGCCAAGCTTCACCCCAGAGTGCAAGAAGTCTGTCAGCCAAGGAGTTATGCCCATCGAGAGTCTGGTTCTTGTTCAGCAATGTTTTCAAATTATGGTTCTGACCACCACCAGCTACAGCACCTGGAGTCCTATTAGAAAGGCAACCTTTTGGGCCCATCTCAGACTTGCTGAATCAGGAAATCTGGGGAAGGGGCAACATCTCCATTTTAACAGGTTCTCCAGGTAATTCTGATGAATGAATGCCAAGGTTTGAAAACGACTGTTCCAGGGAGTCCAATACTTTTATATTTAAACCTAAAGAAATCTGATTGTCAAGAGGAAAGATAGAACTTTCTTTAATAGCTTGTTAACTTGACTATAACATCTAACCTGACTTCTAACCCTATGAAGGCATAGGATATGTGGGCCTCCACTTACACTCTTGCTCTAGGCCCCACAAATGTTTGGGATGGGTCTCGATGTGTGTCCCAGTTTTCTCAGGCTGTCAACTGAGGGAATTCAGGGGCCAAATGCCAGGAGCCATTTGGATATTTATAACATTATTCATGGGCCATACAAAATTAGCAGCTTAAAAATTTGCCTGCTATATTTGGTCAAACATTTAATTAATTCACTCTTAATGCTTTGGCAGAGTCAGACCAAAGGATTTCTTGAGCCTTATACAGCCCGAGGACCGATGTTCCCCACCCCTCAATCATTTGCTCCTGGCTTAAATTTCCTTCTCTGTATAGGAGTTCATGGCGACTGTAGAAGCACTTGGGTCTGACAGCATTCCCTGCCCAGCATTCCCTGCTTTTAGGATATAGTGACTTTTATGCTTAATCACTGGCAAAATATTTTTTTTGCTCTCTACCCAACAGGATTTCTTTAATTTGTCTCTGGATGTAATATAGAAAAAAGATGTTGTCAAATGAATTATGAAATGCCAAACAAAATTTGAGCAATATTTAAGTTCCAGATACCTTTTTAAATATATATATATTTTGTTGATTTCAGAGAGGAAGAGAGAGGGAGAGAAACAACAATGATGAGAGAGAATCATTTATCGACTGCCTCCTGCAAGTTCCCTTCTGGAGATTGAGCCTGCAACCAGGGCATGTGTCCTTGACTGGAATTGAACCCAGGATCCTTCAGTCCCTAGGCAGACATTCTATCCATGGAACCAAACCGGCTAGGGTTCCAGATACCTTTTAATAGCATGATTTATATTTTATACATGTAGTAAAAATAAAAAGTACAGGCACACATATTCTTGATGAGTATGTAAATTAGCATTACTCTTTGAAGAGAAAATTCATATTGTTAATTGAAAATTTAAATTTTGATTCAATAACTTTAGTTTTAGAAATTTATTCTAAAATCACTGGTGCATATAGGCAAAGTTGAATGGTTAAGGGTGTTTACTGCTGCTTTTTTGCTAGAATAGCCAAAAATTGGAAACAACCTACATGTACATCAGTCATGGATTGGCTAAATACTGTATGCACAGCCATATGAGGGAACACTCGACAGTGATAAAAAAGGAACATGGCTTGTGCTGTTAATGAAGTTGGGCCACATAATGCTCAAAGTGTTAGGAGTGAATGGTAACCTGACATCAGACCTCAGGCATTCAAATACCAGCTCCACCATTTATTTGCCGTGTGGCCTTGGGGCAAGTTACTTATTCTCTCTTTGCCTCAATTTTTCCATCTCCAAAATGGGGAATAATAATGCAGCAAACTTCACAAAGTTGTTGAGAGGATTAAATAAGATAAATGAGTTAGTCTTTTAATACGTGGCATAGAGAAAATAGTTAACAAATGTTATTATATGGAAAGACTTCCAAGGTGAATCATTAAATGAAAGCGTCATCAACAGTGCACAGAACAACGTGTATAGACTAGAAATACAGGAGTATATATACAGGAATTATAGAAAAGGCTTGGCAAGGATACGCAAGCACTATTTCCAGTGGTTGTTTCTATACATCTGGGATGGGAAGATGTACGTATTTTCATTGTGTATTTTTTCCATGCATAAGTATTACTTTTGTGATTTTTAAATTATTTTAAAAAAACACAAGAAAAATTAAAATCACACAGATGCTCAGATTCTGTGTGATGGAAGAAATGAACCATCTGGACTCATGGATATATTTTTAATGGGCAATAGGATGACGTTTTTAGAGCTGAAAGATTTATTTTTGTCCACGAGAAGCAGGCTAGTGTTTAGGATTTCATGGAAAACTAATTTTTATAATGATTCTCCCCACTTCTTAATGATGAATGTCTTCGATTTTCCACTTGATGTAACTAAGAGATTCAGGCTAAATTGCCTTTCTTGCTGGAGGCTGAGTGAAATGTAAAATTATCCTATATGCAGTGCTCAGTGGAGGGAGCCCTTGCTTAACTGGAGGGACCTTCTGAGTTGAAAGACTGAAGGGCCCTTTTGCGGTGAGTTTTCTCTCCAGCTCCAGTGTAAAGCCTCTGCTGAACTGTCCTTGTTTAAGTCCCTGGCGGCCTGTGAATACCTGCCCACACAGTGACTTGATCAAACAAGGCTGAGCTGATCTTCCTTCGGCTTTTTGCCAGCAAAATGCCTGGATGTAGGCGGCCATGTTGTTCCACTGCAGAAAGGAGTTCTCAGGATGCCGGGATCAGGAGAAACACCAGGAGTGTTCTGTGTGGCCGCTGACTTTCATACTTACCATCCCATCAGCATTCTGGGATTGGTGGGAAGCCAGACTCCCAGTTTGGTCGAGGAAAAGAAAAATCCTCATTGTGCAGTAGGTTTTGTGAGGTCTTCAATCATCTAACGGTTCTCCCAAGTTTCTAAATAAATTTAAACCTGGTGCAACTCTTTTTTAAAGTGTGGTCTGGGTTTATGCCATTTGTTTTCAAATCAAATGATTAGAATCCATTCATTATTAAGGACTGTTTCATTTTTAAGCTTTGGCTTTTATTCTATCATCAAATGTTCTCTTTAGAGGGGTTTTCCCTTTTTAAAAGTAATGGGATTTGGTAAGGTTTTTATTCTTTTTCTTTTAAAAAAATGTTATCTTTAAAGTATTACAGTTGTCTCTGATCCCCTGCACCATGCTCCCGCCCCCTCCCCGGCCTTCACGGCATTATTGCCTGTGTTTGTGGGGTATGCATATATGCATGCAAGTCTTTGGTTAATCACTTCCGCCCATCCTCCCACCCCTTATAGCAATTTTAAAATAATTAATAATTGGATGAAATTATCATTTTTCTTTCACTGCCACTGAACCTAACTTTTTTCCTTTTCCTGTGCCCCCCCTTATCAGCATTCCATTATCAAAAATGAAAGTCACTACGCATGCAGACTTGACGCTACCACAGCTTCAAGATTTCCAGGTTCTTCTGAACCCTTAACGCTGCTTGTTATTCTTCTAAGTTATCTCTGATGTGTTTCTCCAAAATATCCCACCAGGGAACGATTCCATAAACATATCACTTTCCTCCTCATCACACACCCCTGCTACTTGATAAGTGGAGGCTGTCTGATTTTAGTTCTCCTGATGGATTCTCTCTCCTTCTCCAAGGCCAACAGAGGGCCTGCTTCCTTTTCTCCCACTGCCTCCCAGATTCAGAGGAAGCACCCCGTCCTTCTGTCTAAAACTAACTCCTCTACCTCTTCTACCCTTTTTTGTATCAGGTGATAAAATCCCCAAAGGTTTTCTTCAAATATGGCTTCCCTAAATAAACCAACTGATTTATGAAAAATAGGATATTTTACACTAAAACCTAAATACTTTAGAAACCTAAGGTTTCAAATCTTGGATGCAGTGTAACCATATTTATTTGAATGATTGAATGAGACAATCACAGGACAATGTTGGCGGAAGTTGAGTGAGAATGTGGGTCAGGAACAAAATAATGTTGTCTAACTCTTGTCTCTGTTTTTCAGGGTCCTTGCCAATTTTTAGTGCATAAGGATTTTGCAGTATGTTAAAATAATTCTACATACAATCTTATGCCATCTAAGTAGACACTGAATGGCCATTTATTCTCTTTAGTTATTACTTATTTTTATTTAAAGGTATTGCTACATTGCACAATAACATTGGGCAAGAAAAGAGAAGAAAAAAAAGCACCTAGCCAGATAAATTTCATTTTACTTTTGACCCCTGTTTAAAGTTGCTCTTGTATTTTAGATATTGGAATTTTTACATCATGTACGTTAGAAATCTAACACCTCACCAAGTTCAAATACATGTCAGCAGACGGAATGACTAAAACAGCTGTAATAATTTGGAAATTTTTTTTTTTTGATTTAGTAAACTTATAGTAACTTCCCCTCTTGCTGATCACATTTCATGCCAAATTTCAAATACAAATCCCCCTCTTGAAATATTGATTTATAATTTAATGCTTTTTTGGGGAGAAAGAGAGTAAGTGCCAAATAATGATACTGTCTGGCCCAGTGATGGCGAACCTATGACATGCACGTCAGAGGTGACACGCAAACTCATTTTTTTGGTTGATTTTTCTTTGTTAAATTTCATTTAAATATATAAAATAAATATCAAAAATATAAGTCTTTGTTTTACTATGGTTGCAAATATAAAAAAATTTCTATATGTGACACGGCACCAGAGTTAAGTTAGGGTTTTTCAAAATGCTGACACACCGAGCTCAAAAGGTTCGCCATCACTGGTCTGGCCAAAGATCACTGTGGTTTGACTGTTTAACTGGTCTTTACCCTTCATTCAGAGAACCGTCTGTGACCGAATTCATACAGGAACAGGAGCAAGACCAGCAGTGGCTGACGTTACACTCCGACTGGGAGAGCTTCAATGGGAGCACTTTGCACGAACTGCTGGTGAAAGGGTAAGACACCCTTCCCAAGAGCTGAGTCATGTGCATTACAGAGTGAGAATCTATCATCCGGGCCCTTCCTCTCTTTCTCACTTGAGATGATGCACATTTGTCACAGCAATAGTGAGTTTCCACAGAATGGCTGCTGGCTTTAACTTCAACATCGCTTGACTTTATTTTTTCTTTCTAGATATAGATTTTTCTCTCTCTCTTGGGAATGATGTTTTCCTTTAATGATGATTACAGAAACTATTGTGGTGAAGGAGACGGAACTTGCAATATAATGTTGGAGTTTATTTTTCACTTCCTACTTGAAATGAATTCCATGTTTGCACTTCATACCAATGCTACATGTAACTAGTTAACAAAGGGAATTGAAGTAATGAAAACTATTAAAGCTCGGAAGGTCTGAGAAAAAAATGGACATGGGATGGAATTAGGATCAAGTAGCCTTGAAAGTGCACCTGTGGAAAATTGCCCCTAAGAATAATGGCATCTTAAACAGCCACGTCCCTTGTCTAGTTTGTAGGAGAAAGATAAGTCAAGGAAGTTGATGCATATTACATTACTAGAAGCCCGGTGCACAGATCTGTGCACCGGTGAAGTCCCTCAGCCTGGCCTGTGCCCTCTTGAAATCTGGGACCCCTTGGGGGATGTCAGACTTCCGGTTTCAGTCCAATTCTCACAGGCCAGGCTAAGGGACCCCACGGGTTCAAGAATCCATGCACTGGGCCTCTAGTATGCATATAAAATCTTTGGTTAATTTCCTCCCACCTTCTCTGCTCCCCCGTTCCCTCTGAGATTCATCAGTTTGTTCCATGTTTCCATGCTTGTGCATTGAACGTATGACCCCTGGTGGTCAGTGTGCATCATAGCTACCAGTCAAATGGTCGAATGGCCCTTAGGCTTTTATATATATAGACTAGAGGCCTGGTGCACAAAAATTTGTGCACTCAGGGGGGAGGTGGGGTCCCTCAGCCCGGCCTGTGCCCTCTCGCAGTCTGGGACCCCTCGGGAGATAACGACCTGCTGGCTTAGGCCTGCTACCGGGTGGCAGAGGGGAGGCCCAATCCCTAGGTGCAGCCCCTGGTCGGGCTCAGAGCAGGGCTGATTGGGGAGTTGGGGCCCCACCCCCTGTCATGCACAGAGCAGGGCGGATCGGGAGGTTGCGATGCCACCCTCAGTCATGCTCAGGGTAGGGCCGATTGGGGGGTTGGGACCTCGCCCCCTGTCACACTCAAGGCAGGGTCGATGGGAGGTTGCGGCGCCACCCCCTGTCACTCACAGAGCAGGGCCATCAGGGGGGTTGGGGCTCCATACCCTGTCACGCACAGAGCAGGGTCAATCAGGGGGTTGGGGAGCTCCCCCCTGTCACTCACAGAGTAGGGCCGATAGGGAAGTTGGGGCACCGCCCCCTGTCACACACAGAGCAGGGCGGATAAGGGGGTTGGGGCGCCGCACCCTGTCACACTCAGGGCAGAGCCGATGGGGAGGTTATGGCTCTACCCCGTCACACACAGAGCAGGGCCAATCAGGGGGTTTGGGCACCGCACCCTGTCACACACAGAGCAGGGCCGATCAGGGGGTTGGGGCGCCGCACCCTGTCACACACAGAGCCTCAGGGCGATCAGGGGATTGGGAAGCTCCCCCCTATCAGGCACAGAGCAGGGCTGATCAGGGGCTTGGGGCACCTTCCTCTGTCACGAACAGAGCAGGGCTGATAGGGAGGTTGTGGCCCGGCCCCCTGTCACACACAGAGCCGCAGGGCGATCAGGGGTTTGGGCACTGCCCCCTGTCATGCTGATCCTGGTGCCGGGAGGCCTCACGGCTCCGCTGATCCCGGTGCTGGGAGGCATATTACCCTTTTACTATATAGGATAGAGGCCTGGTGCATGGGTGGGGGCCAGCTGGTTTGCCCTGAAGGGTGTCCTGGATCGGAGTGGGGGTCCCCACTGGGGTGCCTGGCCAGCCTGGGTGAGGGGATGATGGCTGTTTGCAGCTGGTCACACACCCTTCAGGGTGGGGGTCCCCACTGGGGTGCCTGGCCAGTCTGGGTGAGGGGCTGAGGGCTGTTTTCAGGCTGGCGGGTGACTGAAGCTCCCAACTGCTCCTTTTTTTCTTTTTTCCTGTTTTTATTCTGGGTCAGCTTTAGCTCTGAGGCTTGGCTCCAGCTCTTATGCCTCTGCTGCTGAAAGCAGGTATCTGGTTTGTTTGGGTTCTATAATCGAAACACTATTTCAACTCCAGCTCTGAGATCCCGGCTGGCTGAAAGCAGGTATCTGGGATTTTGTTTAGCTTCTATATTTGTAACAATGTTTCAAACTGCAAGCTCAGAGGCCGGCAGCGGCAGGCGGGGAACACTGGAGTCCTCCGTCACTGAAGCAAGCAAGCCTCATGTTCACTTCAAGCTGCCTGGCTGCTGGCCACCATCTTGGCTGGCAGTTAATTTGCATATTGCCCTGATTAGCCAATGGGAAGGGTAGCGGACGTATGGCTAATTACCATGTTTCTCTTTTATTAGATAGGATAGGGACATAGCTATAGAATATGTAAATAACTTGCTCAAAACTCAAAACTCACTGCCCGGAGATAGGAACGGATAGCCTCTCAATTCCAACCAGGTTCTGACCCCACAGCTTTGAATAAGTCCGAGGGAAGACACTGCTTAAGAATTCCAAAGAAGAAAACCAAAGGTGGGACATTTTCTTTAGAATGCCTTGACATTTTCCCCATAGACCAAACTCTGCAGCCACATTTCTGAATATTTGTCAACTGAAGTACTTCCTCCAGAACAATGACCTGAATCTTTCAACAGTGTGATATGTTTCCCCAAACTGGGAATGCTGGAGAAGCCCTCTCAGGTCAAATCAATAAATAAAATATCTCATTCTGAATTGGGAGTTGGTAGAACTGGCTTGAGTCCTGGCTTACTAATTAGATGTGGGATCTTATATATATAATCACAGTTTCCTATACTATAAATAGTTGAGATGGCTAGTCTTTGCTGTCTTTTCCTATTTGTATAAGCTATGGTTTTGGATCTAACAAAAAGCAATTAATTATTGAGTGTCTCTTCCATGCCAAGTTCAGTGCTAAGCTTTGAGGGGATATAGAAGAGAATTAGGGGGACAAGGACCCTGGTCTCAAGGAACATACATTATATAGGTGGGCAGATGGGCTATAAGCTAGTGAACAATGTGAATTTCAGATATTGGGAAGTGCTTCAAAGAAATTAAGGATAATGAGAGAGAGAGAGAGAGAGAGAAAGAGGGAGAGAGAAAGAGGGAGGGAGGAGGAGATACAACTTCAGGTTGTGGGAAGTCAAAAAGCAATGTACTTTTTATGTATTATGTAATTTGTTGTATACAAATAATTACACAGATCCCCATGCAAATTTAGCAAGAAATGAAAATACAGTAAATCTTCAAAAAGAAATGTAGAAATGACATATGTAGGGATGGATATATACTTATGTATGTATATGTCTAGGATTCTAAGCACATCATGATATATCTAACAGTCCCCCCCAATTTTTTTTTGTCTTTTTAATTTACACTGTAAATAAATGCTTCATGGTTGGAGGAGCTTTGTGATTAAAACTTGATGTACCCTACACTGAATTTTCTGGTGCAGCCACATTGATAGGTGCTGAAACATGGGCCATGTTCTTGCCTTCAAAGGTTAACTCCAATTTTTAGAAAGTTCTTCTCCTGAGCCCACACTTCTTATGAATTCTACCATTAGTTCTGACTCTGCCATCTAGAGCTATGTGAAATAAAGTTAACCCCCTTTTACCTGCCAGCCAGTCATAGATCCATAATCTAATAGTCTTGGCAAGATTATTTGACAATTTAAATATTCAATTTTTATCCATTCTCTAACATTTTTAAATAATACTTTATTTATTTCAAACTAGTTCTCAAAATTTTTTGACATACATGCCTCTCCATGAGCATAAAAATCTGACATGGTCCCCTCACTGTAGATTCTAAGAAGCAGCCCAATCCTCCCCCCACTTTCTCCTCCTTACTTGGAAAAATCATGGTTTGAGTTCATATTTTGGGTGGTTTCATCAACCAAGATGAGGTGGGAAACTTTGCTAACAATAGGTCCCCTTCTGACAAATGTGAAATTTGATTACGATGATATTAAATAAACTAGAAAAAGTACACGTCCTTTGTACACCCCATCCCGAGGTGATTCTGACAACAGCCCTGCCGTGAGAATTGACCTCAGGCAAGGGTGGAACCTATGGCTTGCTTTTCACGGGTAGTGTTTGAAGTGAACAATGAATGTAACTTAATATTATACCATTTTATGTTTCCAAATCCAGACAGTCTTGCCACAGCAGAAGTAAGATTTCTCTTCTGTGCGCTAAACAAGGTGAGAGAATGAATGATGTCCCAGTGGGGCATAAACTTCATTTAGCTGGGTTGGCTCAGGGGAAAAACGATCCCTTGCACGTGACAGCGTCTAGCTGGGTTTGGGGGTGAGTCACACGCCTCTGCCTCTCCTGCTCCTTGGTAGACTGTGGGCGCCGCCCTGCTGCCCGAATGAACAAGAGGATCCTCGGGGGCCGGACGAGTCGCCCTGGAAGGTGGCCTTGGCAGTGCTCCCTGCAGAGTGAGCCCAGTGGGCACATCTGTGGCTGCGTCCTCATTGCCAAGAAGTGGGTCCTGACAGTCGCCCACTGCTTCGAGGGGTGAGCTGCACCTTTTCTCCTTTGCTTTGCCTGGATCTGGTCATTTTGTCACCTAGGTTCTTAGTGAAGCCCCTTCAGTGCAAAAGCCACCGATGATCTTCTTCCCGGGCCTCTATCTGCTTGGGTTTTTCTGCCCTCAGTGTTGTCAGCCTGTGTACGTGCGATGGATAGATATTGCTTATGATTTATGTCCTAAAGAGGGAGGGATAGGAAGTTTAGTGGATTGACTCCCCGGCCAGCATTGGTGTCTTTTCTGGCCCTTTTGAATACATCAGATACATGTGGAGTTAAAAGGGGGACTTACTCAAGGGGATACTACGGTGAGGGGAGGGTGCTGGAGGAACTGGTGAGGACTTTGGGAAGCAGAGTTAAAGGTACAATATGTGTATTAGTCGGGGTTCTCCAGAGAAAGAGACCAATGAGAGCGAGAGGTTTACTTTAAGAAGTTGGCTCACATGATTGTGGAGGCTTGGCGAGTCCAAAATCTAACGGGGTTGGCCGGAAGATGGGATAGCATTGCAGTTCACATCCAATGGCCATTGGCTAGGTGGATTCCTTCTTGCTCAGGGGAGGTCTGGCTTGTTTATTAGGTCTCCCTTTTATCAGTGAAGACCCACCTACATTATGGATGGTAGTCTGCTTTACTCAAAGCCCACTGATTTCAATGTTAATCTCAGCCAAATACACCTTCACCGAAAAATCCAGAATCTTTGACCAAATATTTTGGCACCACAGCCCAGCCACATTGGCACATAAATTAACCAGGACAATGTGCCTAAAGGAGCAGAAAAGCAAGACCAAGGGAATACCTACCCCCAGCTGACAAACATAACTGCAGAAGGTCCTCATGTGATCCACCTGCCTGTTATGTCAGGAGCAAGAAAACCAAACCGAGCAACAACAAAGAAAACCCCCAAACATGCATTATGCTCCCAGAAGATCCAGGGGTCAGACACCGGGAAGGACATGGCTGGTGCACTTTGTCTCTGCTGGGCAGCAATGTCAGCGCCAGCTGGAAGGGTCTGAGGCGGGGTGGGGAGCTGCACTCTCCAGGCAGCGCTGCCAGTGGGCCGGGCCTTCGTTCCTCCCCACATGGGACTCAGCATGGTGACTGGCATTCGGCACAGTGAGCTTCCCAAGGAGGGAGCCAGGAGGATGCGATGCCTTTTGTGACCCAGCCTCCAAGACATGCAGCACTGCTTCTGCTGTGGGGCTGCTCAGATCCAAAGGAAGAAACACAAAACTCTCTTCTCCAAGGGAGGAGTGTCAAAGGATTTGAGGACATTTTTTTTTAAGAGAGAGTGAGGAGAGAGATTGATGGGTTGCCTCCTGTACTGCCTGACCAGTGGTCGAACCTGAAACCTGGGTATGTGCCCTGACCAGGAATTGAACCTGCCACCTTTTAGTTGTACCGGATGATGCGCCAAACAACTGAGCCACCACACTGGCCAGGGGGAAGACATTCTTTTAAATAACCATCACACCACCAATTTTATCTTTAATAATTTTTATTTAAAAGTCATATTAAGCAATAGCGAAATTTTAAAACAAATTAAGTCACAGTCCTGTCACCTAATGGATTATTTTCATTTGCCCAGGTTAATTTCTAAAAAACAAAAAGGAATTTTATTTATTTATTTTGCCTATTCTTGTTTTTTCTCAAACTTGCCACTTACTGACCATGGGCCAGTTCATGAACTTCTCTGGGTCAGTTTCCTCCTCTGTGAAATGAAGGACATGGCAGTCACAGGGGTGGTGCAGCCGTTAAGTGAGCCTCTGTACAGCCATGAGAATCATGCCTGGGATTAATAAGTGACACATTGATAAAGGTCAACTTAAAAAAAATTATTACTGAAATCATGCATTCTCCCTTTTCCCTTAACACTATGGCATGAGTATCTTTGCATTTTGCTAGCACTGTCTTTCTCTCCTCTCACACTCACCTTCACTTCCTCACCCTCCTCACAGTACCCCCCATTACAGCCTGGCGAATGTGCTGGCACAGCTATAAACATACATTTCCCCCCCAGGTGTCATTGCTTCCTTTTACAATTTGGAATCCCACTCTATACTTGTGTTTGTAAGGTGACTTTCTCATGTAGCAATATATCGCCGGCATCCCTCCAGGTCAACTGATGTAGCTCTAACTCATTCTTTCCCAAAGCTAAATGATATTCTATAATATAGATTTACCATAGCTTTTTTTATTACTATTCCGCAGCTGATGAGCATTCCGGTTAGTTCCAATTTGCTACCGTTTTAACAATACTGCAACACACCTCCTTATACAAAGCTACTCACCCACTGGTGCTTGCCTTTCTAAGGAATAGAGTCCTAGCACGTATATCCAGTTCCAGGTGGGGGTTACAAAGATGAGTACACATTTCCTTCCTTGGATTGCTAACCTAATGAGGTTGCAGACACTTAAACAAGTAATTAGAATATAATGTGATAAGTGATTGTGAAATGCAAATGTGTATATCCAGTTATTTGATCACTCTTTTTGGGAAAGTGGAATATAAAACATCAAACCAGTACTTCTGCTGGAGAACATTTAGTGTCTAAGACCCTAAATTATTGAGGAGTCTGTGTAGTCTGTCAGGAAATACACAGCAATGTAATTGTTTCAGAAGAAGCCAGATGTTTCCGGATGTCTTTTCCAGGTCTGATTTATAACTCCAGGGTAATTAGAAGATTAGACTAGCAAGAGTACATTCATCAAAAGATGGTTACCTAAACGAATCCAACAGGTCTTTAAGGGGCACACATTCTCCACGTGCTAGTTCACCCAGGTTCAGATCCAATGTTTGTTGTTTCCGTATGTGGCGTCCAAGTCTCCTCTTTCACGACGGATCTGTGCAGTTAAGAAGAAGCCTTGCAATAGAGAAGAAATATGTGTTTATAATTAAGGAAATGGGTAAGATATCAAAGGCCTTGGTGAAATTTTATGGAACACTAAACTCAACAGAACTGTCAAGAGGGGCCTGGCTTGTCCATAAGAAACTAGAAATGGCCCAACTTCAAACAAGCCTTCGTTTGAATGTGTGCTAATAACTCTGATTCTATTTTACAGTCTCTCCAGTGGCCCTGCAAGCTTTTGAGAACTTCTAATTATAAGCCTTACTCTCTGCTGGAGCCATCGATTGCTGCAGTTAATGGGATTTACTTCATATCCTGATCCCATACTTTGCCAATCCTAGTGTGACTCATCTGTAGGTCTCCTCAGGCCTGTCTCTGTTAATTATATTGGTGAGGAAAAAGCCACAAATTTGTTTTGCTCTTCCATGAAGAGGTCTTTAAAAATCCCCAATGAAAATTAAAAACATGAGATGCTAAGCTGATCAGATCAAGTTCCATATGCCCTAATAAGAAATCAACTTCAACAGTTGTAAGGGAGAAAGACTTTGCCTTTCAGGGGTAACGGAACAGCAATTTTCCTGCCTTCTTCCGCCTCTGAGAGATGGAAGGATGACCTTCCTAGGCTGGCAAACTACTAGTAATTGTCGGAAGCATCTGATTTCTCTCCAGGAAACCCACATGAATAACTATCATCCTACCATCCTCCTACATAATAAAAAGCTAATATGCAAATTGACCGAATGGTAGAATGACTGGTCACTATGATGCGCACTGACCACCAGGGGGCAGATGCTCAATGCAGGAGCTTCCCCGTGGTGGTCAGTGTGCTCCCACAGGGGGAGCGCCACTCAGCCAGAAGCCCTGAGCATGGCTCACGGCTGGCGAGCACAGTGGTGATGGCAAGAGCCTCTCCTGCCTCCATAGCAGTGCTAAGGACCCCTCAGGGGATGTCCACCTGCCAGCTTAGCTTCCTGCTAGGAGCGGACCTAAGCCAGCAGGCGGACATCCCCCGAGGGGTCCCAGACTGCAAGAAGGCACAGGCTGGGCTGAGGGCCCCCCCCCCCCCCAGTGCATGAATCTCATGCACCGGGCCTCTAGTGTGACCATAATCGCTACCCCTGCTAGGTCACCCTTGTCTTGACTTCTCTAACAAGACTTTTGTTGCTTGTCTGCACTTCTTCCCCCATTATCTCAGCCCATCAAGGAAATGTGGTCTCCTCATCTCCTTTCTCTCTCCAGCTGATAAAGTGCCCTGGGCTGGTCACTTCAGCCCTCTCACCAGGACCTTCAGCTTCTTTGTTCCTAGATCTTTCTGCCATACATGCTGGGCAGACCTGTCTCAATCTCAGTCCTTTAATATACTCGGAAAAGAAAGTGAGAGATTTGACTTTTCATACTGAACCCATGTTGTGTCCTCAGGGTTACTATTTTTTATCTTCTAGGTGCTTATGAACTATGCCAGTAATTCACAGTTTGTTTATTTTCATTTTATCGACGTGCGGGGTTGATCCATTCCTTTCAGTAATAATGCCCAGTAAAATGGGAATTTTCCATTTTATATCCATACTTCCCCTGGGGTGCTGTTATTTAGCATCAGTGGAGAGCCAGCCAGTGTGGTTGTCAAAAGCCCTTGGTAACTGACCTGACTCCCTCTCCCCACGGTCCTGCCCTCTGTGGAGGTATTCTCTGCCTTCCTTCCCTTTTCAGTGGAAATGTCTGGGTCTAGAACATAGCAAGCAGTTGGCCTAAAATATGGGCTGACCCATAGCTCCTGGGGCTTGCTGAAACTGGGCGCTCTTCTCTTTCCAAACTTCATAGTTACTTCTTTGTTTCTCCTAGCCTTGCAACTACCTATCCATGCACTCTGCATCTGCACCTGAGCAGGGTTCTGTGGTCTCTTGCTTTGGTGGGGTAGGTATGACCTGAGTGGTCTGGAAAAGATCATTCTGCCATCCAGAACTTCGGTCTCCCTTGAACAATCAGAAGGTCGGGTCACACCGGGCATTTCACCATGACACCAATGAGCAGAACTGAGAGGCGATGGCCCTCTGGATGGACAGGCCTTGTGGTCTGACTTATTGACTCACATCCAGCCCCTTCACGCATTTCCTTGAGGTCACCCTAAAGTCATTTCACTGCATGTGTCACAGAGAATTCTTTAGAAATACCAAGGGCAGAGCCCACTATTAAAAGTAAGACATTTGTAATATTTATAGAACAGCAATGACGCTGTTGCGTGATATTTCCTAGAACAAACTTGGTGACCTTTAAACTACCTCCACATTGCCACTTAGCTGTGCTATTTCTGGAGTAAGATAAAATAGGGTGATTTCTACTACAGGTGTTCATTATATATATGTTCATTCTTTCCTTAAAAAAAAAGGAGAAATATTTGAGATACTAAAGCAAAAGCAAAAAGGGTAAAAAAGGGAAAGTTTGTGCTCTCCAGAAAAGATATAGAAAATCTCTGATGTTGGCTAGCTGCATGAAGCACAAATGTGCCATTTTCATGTCTAAACTAGATTGTGGCAACTTGCAAACCACAGTGACTGGTTACTGTGCGCACCGACACGGTGCCTGCCACTGAGTAAATGCCCCTGCCTGCTCCATGCACCTGAGATGCCTGTGAAGCTGAGCTTTCTCTCTGGAGAGGTTAAGAGGCCAATGGCTCCTGAATTACCATTGCAGGAGAGAGAACGCCGCCGTGTGGACGGTGGTGTTTGGCATCAACAATCTCGACCACCCGTCGGCCTTCGTGCAGACGCGCGGGGTGAGGACCATCATCCTGCACCCGCGCTACAGCCGCGCGGTGGTGGACTACGACATCAGCATCGTGGAGCTCAGCGCGGAGGTCCAGGAGACCAGCTACGTGCGGCCCGTCTGCCTGCCCAGCGCGGAGCAGGCCTTGGAGCCGGACACGTACTGCTACATCACAGGCTGGGGCCACATGGGCAGCAAAAGTAAGCCGGCGGGCGCAGCGCGTTGCCTTGCAGCTTGTCACGGAAAGACCCCGAGTTACTTCTGAGCCTTTGGCAATAACCCCCCCATTTCACTTCTAAAAGTATAGGCACAGCCCAGCCAGTGTGGCTCAGCGGTTGAGCCTCGACCCAGGAACTAGGAGGTTTGCCGGCTTGATTCCCGGGCCAGGGCACATGCCTGGGTTGAGGCTCGATCCCCAGTAGGGGGCGTGCAGGAGGCAGCCGATCATTGATGTTTCTATCTCTCTCTCCCTCTCCCTTCGTCTCTCTCTAAAAATTAATTAACATATATTTTTAAAAAGACATAAATAAACTTTTTTAAAAAGTATAGACACAAATGGTACACACTGAGCATGTGTGTCACTTCCCCACGCAAATGATAGACGTTAGCTATGGCACTCACTCCTGCCCCGCTCAGAGGCAGCCTCAAAACGCTTCTCTGGCTGAGAGTCTCTCTCCAGGGAGCCAGTGCCAGTGCTTTGGTGCTGCCAAGCCAGATGAGACCTGTCAGTCATGCCTGTGACCCGCCTCCACGGGTGGTTTGCACTCTGCAGGCCAATCACCTGTGCCTGTCTAGCGGTTAGGCATTCTGCCCTGCAGCCTAGGGCTGCGCCCAACTTCCAGGCCTGCCTTGTGATTTGGTCTTGTCGACCTTTGTAAGACAACCAGGAAGTCCTTCTCCAAAGAAAACTGGTTTGCTATTTGCCTACTTAAATTGATTAAAGTAGTTTGGCTCCCTAGATCAGTGGTCGGCAAACTCACTAGTCAACAGAGCCAAATATCAACAGTACAACGATTGAAATTTCTTTTGAGAGCCAAATTTTTTATTTTTATTATTATTTTTTTAATATATTTTATTGATTTTTTTACAGAGAGGAAGGGAAAGGGATAGAGAGTTAGAAACATCGATGAGAGAGAAACAGTGGTCAGCTGCCCCCTGCACACTCACCACTGGGGATGTGCCCGCAACCAAGGTACATGCCCTTGACCGGAATCTAACCTGGGACCCTTGAGTCCACAGGCCGACGCTGTATCCACTGAGCCAAACCGGTCAGGGCGAGAGAGCCAAATGTTTTAAACTTAAACTATATAGGTAGGTACATTGTTATTAACTTAATTAGGGTACTCCTAAGGCTTAGGAAGAGCCACACTCAAGGGGCCAAAAAGCCGCACGTGGCTCGCGAGCCGCAGTCTGCCGACCACGGCCCTAGATGATTTGAACATATAAAACATAGAAATTGAAACATTTTTCCTACTTACTCCCAGCCCCCAAATGGACTCTCAATTTTGCTTGACCTCTTAGGGTTGAGAATATGAATTTAACCCATGAGACATTTTCTTTCCAAGGCCACTCCGTGTCACGGGTGTGCGTGGCTCTCGGGAATGGCGATGCTGATGGCTGTCCTGTGAGCCACCTTAGCAGCTGCCAACTTGAAGGCCTCTTTTTTTTTTTTTTTTAATTTTGTCAGATAAGTGTTGAGCTAAGTTGAGTTTCCTTTCTATATGGTCAATTGATGACAAAAAAGAAAAACTCAATAGACAGAAGTAAGTCAGTGATGTCTGAAAGGCTCACATGTAAGAACGTCAAAGGCAAGGTCAGACATGTGATGTCACCGTTCCTGGCACCTTGCTTTCTAAAAGCTACAACTAGTACTGCAATAGCGATAAGACCTGAATATACTTTCTATTGCCTCTCCTCGTACTGCTCCCACAATATCCACATCAAACTGACAGCAATCCTGTAATATATCGCACCTGCCACAAATACAGTGCAGCATGAGGAGCAAAGATGCGGATTCGGTGAGAAAGTCTGACTAAACAGGGGAAACATAACAGCAACCGTCTAACTTCTAGGACTATTGTAAAGATTACAGACAAGAGGCCTCGAGAATGGCGAGGAGGGGTGCCTGGCCTGCTCTTAGTACCCCATGCATGCTAGCGATTGTTCTTACGACCATTCTTTGACAACTCCTGGAATTTTCACTGTCCTCATCACACTGTTTTCCGAACATGATTCCTTCTCCCAATAAGGTCCCCTGTGCATTTTCACTGCATCCCCATCCCCATTTGTAGAATGGCGAAGCAACTACGAATCCATGCTTCGAGAAGCCATTGTCCTCTTTTGAGAACTTTGCAGCAAGATGGCATTCACACAGTCCTCTCGGATACTAATGGATGGCTTTGTCCCTGTCAACATCTCTCTGTCATGTCCTCTAGGATGAAAGGTTCTTACCTCAAATAATGCCCCCATAGCGCATGGTCTCGTGGTGAGACACAGGCATTAAGCTGAGGAGAGGGCGGGCCCTGCCTGCTGGAGGCGCCGGGTGTGGCCTGCGGCAGACCTGGCAGCCTCCTGTCTGGGGCAGAGCCATGGGGTGATCACTTTCCATTTCATTGCAGTGGCTGTTGGTTTTATTGGGGAAAGTGTGAGCCAAGTTACCTACCCGGGTGACTTAACCACTCTGTGCCTCGCTTTTCTCAATACGACAAAGGGGTTTGACTGGAGGATTGCCGTCAACCCTTCTAATTGGAAAATTCTGATTGCAAACAAGCCTTGATTTTGAAATGACATTCTAAGTAAAGAATAAAAATGTAATCATTTCATATATAGTTAGCCTCATTTTGAGCCATTTTACCCTTCTTTTAATATTTTCTTCCCTCCTTCCCCCCTTCCCTTCCCTTCCCTTCCCTTCCCTTCCCTTCCCTTCCCTTCCCTTCCCTTTTCTTTTTTAATACCCAGTGCCCTTCAAGCTGCAGGAGGGAGAAGTCCGGGTGATTTCTCTGGAGCAGTGTCAGTCCTACTTCGACATGAAGACCATCACCACCCGGATGATATGTGCCGGCTATGAGTCCGGCACAGTGGACTCATGCATGGTAAGTTGTTTGCTGATTACTGAGGTAATTCAGTTCAGCAATAACTCCAGGGGGCCCACACAAACTCATTGTTATTCACGTGAGGCCTTTCGGGGGCATTTTTGGAAAATGACTTGTCAGCAGATGTGTATTTGCATGGTGATGTCCTCCATCCAAGACCCTGCGAGTCCCCGTACTGCCTCCATGCCCTTGGCTCACTCCGGTGACCTTCAGCTCGCTCCTCCACTGCCTGGGGCACAGCACGTGTGTCAGCAACCGGAGGGAAAGCAGCTGTTCTGGTCCATCTCATGGGACCATTTTAGGGGCTAAGACTAATGAGTTTCTAAGAGGAGCAAGTGGTAACCAGGGCCCCAACCAGGCTGCCTGGGAAGCAGGGGGATACCAAGGGCATTTTTAGCCATTGGGGTGAAGGCATTAAAGCACAGGCAACACCCCACCCAGGCGTGTGACAGAGCCACCTCTATCTCAGCAGGTGGTCACACTGGCATTGTCTGGGCCTGCACTTGACTCCCAACATGTCTACAAATGTCACTGCATGCGACTCAGACCATGGGATTCATGGTCACAGCAGTTCGTAGAGCAGGCTCACTAAGCAGTTCAGGGAAGCGTCTTCTTTGTTACTTGGTAAACACTCATTGGCTATTGCACTGGACTGGCTCCCAGGGAAGGAAAAAAAGGGCAAGTGCTCAAAGAAGCTGACGACGGAGTGGGGACAGCAGTTATTCTCCGCCAAGGCTGTGAAGCACCTTTGCTATTTCACTGCTTTGGACTAGGTCCAGCTGCCCCGCCCCATGTTAGAATTGAAGAAGAGATTCAACAATGATGTTACCGCTGGCCTAGCATAACAACATGACACTTCTGGTGGTCCTGCCTCAGAGTGGGCAGACCCAGACTGGAGACGGCCCGGTGGGGATTCCTTAGTTGCCAGGGGAAAGAGGGAGGCAGACAGTTGGCTCCCTTAGAGCTTCATGAGGCCACCGTCCCTGTAGCCCCTTGGCCACAGCATCCAGCTGAGGTGGGCAGGGATGGAGGAATCCCGCCTTCCAAGCAAGAGTCCCGGGTTTGATTTCCGGGACTCTTAAATAATACATAAATATTATTTATATTTAAGTATATATAATTAAAATCTAAAAATAGTGTTTTGGGAGGCAGAATGGTATAGGGCTTGTTACACAGCATTTGCAGCCTGAACGATCTGGGTGGGACCCCATCTCTGCTGGTAAGAATAATGAGACCTGGAGAAATTATCTAACCTCTCTAGAAAGGTTCTTCATGAGTGAAATGGGACTGAGTCTAATTTGCACGGTGTTTGGTGTAGGTGAGAGCCCCTATCTTTCACTTATCTGTGTGGGATGTCTGGCATATACACTCAACCAAGAGTAACTGTGTGAATATTAACATTTATCACTTGGTGCCTGTTGTGTTGCAGAATCTCTTCCAAATGCTTGATAACAACTCATTTAATCCTCACAATCACCTATTGTGATGTTTCATTGTTTTTCTAGTTTACAGATCGAGAAAAGAAGGGACCAGAGAGGTTCAGTAATTTACCCAATATCACACAGCAGGAAAGGTGGTAGAGTAAGGATATGGACCCAGGCAGTCTGGCTCCAGGGCCCCGGTGTTGGGCCACTACGCCATCTAGCCGCACTGATGACTATGAATACATTTCTCCAAAGGAGGGGCAAGAAGGTGATTCTTGAAAGAGAACTGAAGGCTGTGCACAGACACAGGCACAGGCATTTCATATCTGGTGCCTAACGTGAACCGAGTCACACCAACTTCTTCAGCAGTGGGAATTCGGCACTGCGGGGATCTTAACTGCCTATCGGAGATTCTCTAACACAGCTCCAGGTAGAGAATAAAACCAACCACAACACAAACCAAAGCTAGGTCTGGTTTGACTAGGTCTGAAGCAAGATTCTTCACCAGAACCTCTCATTGTCTTTCCGATTTATTAATGGGGCCCTTTGGAAGCTGTGGGTCCCTCTGTTAAGGTCTAGAAATCATCGGGATCAGTCCTGAAGCTAAACATTAACTTTGGCCCAAAGCCCAGGATTACTAGAGGAAAAGAGGGCCAGAAAGACCAGACAAACTGGGCCTCAGCTGTTTCCCCCTGTCATTTTGAATGGCTGCTTCTGCGCGTCTTGTTCTCTACCTTAGAAATGTCCATCACCGCGCTAACCCACCTCACACCCGCGTGTTAGGAAGGCACTTTGTCTGTTCTTCCCCACCTGGAAGTACTTGCTCCTTCCTGTGAGGATGCCTTAGTCCTTAGACTTTGCTTGCGTGTAACGGTATTCTGGTTAGCAAAGCGGACTTTCGGCCCCTCGGTGACAAAAACAGTGCCTCCCTCTGTGTGGGCCTCAGCAGGAACCTTGCAAAGAGCAGATGCTAAATAATTATCGGGTTAAATTTCTGATCTGGAAGTGTAGAGCGAACCTGTAAACATGCCCCATTTTAATCAACTCTCTGGCATAATGAATAGCTCAACCTAAAAAAGTCAGCATCTTAGCATTTCTCCTATATAAGGGGAGAAGAAAAAAATGTGGAGTATGTCTGATATTTCCAGTAAATTTTGCTTAAAGTTTTCCAATTGGACTCTTTAGGCAGAACAATTTATTCACACCCTTGCATGGTCTACGCTCGTTACTTCGGTTTATGGCATTAGGAATTTATGATGTCAAGATCACCACCTCCCCAAAAGCTCACAGCACAATCAAAAATTCAGTTTTGCTTAACAGCAGTCCTATTCGCTGACATTTCTCAGCAGAAAGTTAGCCTAGTTATTATAGGGTTGGAATCCTGGTGCTAGGCTGCCCGAATTTAAATTATAGCCCTGCCAATAAACAAGTTCCATATCTGTTGTGCTTCATTTTTATTATCTCTAAAATAAATTTAATAATAATTATTATATCACATTATTACTGTCATCAACACATAAGGATTTTGTGAGGATTAAACGAGGTAATACAGGGCAAGTGTTCAGAAAAGTATCAGTAAACATGATTACCGTTGTTCTTCAATGTCGCCAAGTGGGAATGAGCATAGATATACTTCCAACTTTGAAACTCTTGCAGTGCCAGGAGTATTTTAAATTTCCACCATATTTGCTTCCTTATTTTCTAAGGTATCAATCCTTTTCTTTTGAGGCGCTGCAGAATACACCCTCTAACCTACTCTGATCTTTCAGATGTAGCAAATATTAACTTTCTAAAGTTGTTGTGTCTTAAGATTAATTATATGTGGCAAAAGAACCGAATATGTGTCAAGTGCAACACCTAAACTTAAGTATCAAGAATGAAAATCTCTATTCATACGGAATATAGATTATAAAGAAATGAAATACCTTATGGTAAATAATTCTTATGTGGTATTTTCCATTCAGTATGCTAATTGCTAAGGTCCTAAGAACTATTAAGAAATGCAGTATGTGGTCCCTGAACTATTAAGAAATGCAGTATGTGGACAATATTTTTATTTGGTTCCCCCTATGTGACAATTGAATTTGAGATTCTACTTTGCCAAAGGAGAACTTGCCTTAGACTGCAGAGTAACCATACTTTTACTTAATGCATTCATTCACATAGTCAAAATCTTGAACGTGGTAAGTTTGAATGTTCCATGTTGGGTACTTTCTACATTTATAAAATGGGTCAAAGTTAAAGAGTGTGATTATGAGAGAAGTGATTCTGATACATTTAAGAAATATGACATATTTTGATAAGTACGGGAAATAACTAAAAAAATGTCTTCTGATTTCACAGAAAATAAGAATAGCCTTTTCCCAAGCCATCCCTATCCTTTTAGACTTTCAAATGTCCATTTGGAAGTTCCGTTTATGGAGTGGAGAGCATGTCCCTCCACAGGTTGACGATAAAAGCTTTGCGGAAATTTCCCCAAAGGTTGGTTAAGCTGGGCTCGGCTGTAGTGTACCCTCAGGATAACATGCACACCGTTAGGGCTCTGAAGTACCCGTGACTAATGTTCCCTGCTATTCATTACAGGGGGACAGCGGCGGGCCGCTTGTTTGTGAGCAGCCTGGAGGACAGTGGACGTTGTTTGGCCTAACTTCATGGGGCTCCGTCTGCTTTTCCAAAGTCCTGGGGCCTGGAGTTTACAGCAATGTGTCCTACTTCACCAAGTGGATTGAGAGACAAATATACATTCACACCTTCCTCCTAAACTGATTCCAAAGATGACCAGAGACGTGGCCAGCGACACTCAGAGAGAACGGGGTCTTGGCTATGGAGCACTTTCTGCAAACAGCTGTACAGAAAAGCACTCCCTGGGCACAGGGACAGGGGTGCTGGGCAGTGCACTGCACGCCTCCGTGCTTGTTTCAGGCTAATGTTATTCAGCTTTATTTTTCAGCTTTATTTTTCTTACTTCAAGTTCGATGAAAGTCTTTTTTTTTTTTTTTTTTTTTTTTTTTTTTTTTTTTTTTAGCAAAGCTTATTTTGTTTTGTCAGCCTAACCTTGACCACTAGTGCGAAATTGCCGGCCCTGGAGAGTGAGGGTAATGCAGGCGCCAGGGCAACAGTTATAAAGTTCCCTCTTATCCAGTCACAAAAAAAGGACACTGAGATGCAGGCTGACCAATCTTTGCCAGCTTTTGTTTCTCAAGTACAATAGCATAGTGGCAACTTTCATATAAACCTTGGTGACTTGCTTTTGATTTATTAAAAGCCAAGATAATTTACATGCTTAAGTTATTGACTATGACTCTTCTAAAGTCTTTAAAATGTTGAGCACTGATGAAAGACAGAGGCGACAGACAAGTAGCATCCCTGTAGGTCGCTGCAGCAGCAAGACACACTGAACACAGAGCTCTTTAGACATCACAGTGAGCACTGACATGGTAGGGTTGCGTGTTCTGAATTTAAGCCACGGTTGTAATGTGGTAGAAAAGTCTCCACAGAACTTTCCCTATAGCTGGGGTTTGTTCAGTGTCTGAGATTTCAAAAACTAGGAAAATATCCATGGACAATATTTTTATTTGGTTCCCCCTATGTGACAATTTAATTTGAGATTCTACTTTGCCAAAGGAGAACTTGCCTTAGACTGCAGAGATGCAATTTAAAAAAAAATTAAATTGACCTTACCCCATGAAATATTTTCCAGTTTGTCCAACCAATGAAGTACAGAAATGTATCTCAAAGCACAGGAAAGCTTTGCATAACATTTTGTAATTTTCCCTGAAAGATGTTTAATATCTGGTGTTGCCAATTCTTCCCATCGATAATTAAAGCAAAAATTTAAAAATGCTTTTAAGCACTAGGCCACTTTACCCACATCAATATCTTTAGTGATTAGTGGTTATTTTTTTCCACACTAAAAAGCTTCAGAACACAAGTCATCACCTGCACCTAATTTAGTCAGTCAGGCACCCATTTTTGCAACATCCAAATGCCTTTGGAACAAGTAGGATTCCCTACTAAGCTCCACCAGCAACCTGGACTGCCTCCGCATTCCACATAGAGACTACCTGCAGTTTTATACATGTATTTTTGTACTCTTTTCTACGTGCACACATATTTGAAATCCAAAAAGTTGTCTTGACACTTTCCATGTTATTCATCGCTTGTTTTGTAGTTTGTATAAATGTATTGAGAATGTGACATCCAGCAATTGACTTTGGTCACAACTGTATGGAAGTTGAAGAATATGGGTCAGTTTCGTTTTGTTATAGTTGTAGGTACATACTTAATGTAATGACTTTTAGCCTTGCTCAACTGATGTTCAGTGAAATGTACATGTTGTACTTATTTTAAATAACCATTAATACAAATAAAATGGTATACTCTCTTTTTTTATGTGTGTGGAGCATGGATAGTATGTCCCAGAAAATTGTCTTTCCCAATATAATAGTTGGCACCCAATTTCTCCCCAATCAAAATACCTGTCTTCTATCAGACTTTCACAGGAACGTGCTCTTTTACTTTACAGGACAGATAATGCCTTGATTAGTCTGGAATTAGGGTTGCTAATACTCTCAAATTACCCATTGAGCATCCAACAAAAACTGTAGCCCTGGTAAGAGTGTAAGGATTTTTAATGTCTAGAGTACATTTCAGGAAATGGATCCAATTCTTTCGTAAGTCTTTTGGGGTAAATTTGCATCCCCAAATGTATACTATTAAGCACGTTTCTTTGGCTTCTAGGAGCAATTATGTTAATTTCTCAAATTTTGGTGAAAAACGTTCAATACAGAAATGCAACAGTTCACATCAGCTTGGGTAACCTGTGTAAGAGTTTTTTACTTGTAAATGAGACCATTTAAAGGCTTAGAACAGATCCCAGTTCCTTTTCATCTGGGAGGCAGATGGTATTTAAGAACCCAGAATTTGTCAAAAATTTAAAAATAAACTTTAACATCCAGAAAGAAAATACCATTTTTGTAGCAAATATATAAAGATTATATTAAGTACATGATAGCTTCACCTCTGTCCAGGGCATTGAGTTTTTAACTAATTTATTTAAAAAAATCAGTATTCAGTGTTCTTGGGATTTTGGAATCAAGGAATTGTGGCCCCATCACATGAACACTCCAGAGTTTCATCTACTCCTAAGTACAGATACGTGACAGTTTTTCTTAGTCTTTTTGGCTCATTCCTTTATCATTAGATTCTAAAACTTTATTTATTAGAGAAAATATTTCTAATTTTTTATTTATCAGAAGATTTATCTCAGGGAATGAATGCCAGCTACTATGAGGATAACAAGTGATATAACATCATAGATTTTTCCATATAAGAAAAAGCCCAAACAATATTCTGGTAAAAGGTGTACTTAGAGATTTTCCTTCTAAGTTCTGGTACCAATTACAGTTGGATTCAGTGAGTATCCACAGGATTGATGACAGTTTTGTATCACATTATTTATTAAACAGTTTATTTAAAATAAAAATCTATAAGGAAGCAGAAAGCAACTTCCATTAGCTATGTGGGATTTTGAAAGTTCTGGAAATTGGTCTATATAAAAGACTGTTTACAATAATATCAGAAGGCTACAAAAATAGGACAGTAGGCAGCAGGTAGAAGATAAAGTCCTGAAAATAATAGTTTAATAGTCATTAAGACAACTTTGATAAAGAAACAAAACATTAGCATGGAGATTTCATGAAGGGAATTCTGGGTGATTGGTGGCTGACAATTTTCAGATGAACCGATGTAGAATTTTAGAAGAACTTAACAAGAATACATGATTTTACAACTGGCCTTATTTGGTATAAACTAGTTTCTTGTTCCAGCATACATGATTTGCAACAGCAGTTAACCTGCAATAGATATTTCTGTTCTAAAATGTATTAAAATACAAATTTTTCTAAGAACCTCATGGAATCCTGAGAACCACCTGTCCTAGTCTCAATTCCTAGCTCATTTTTAGAGGTTACAAGCCCCAAAAAGTTGTATGGCATTGCAAGGACTATGAACTCTCAAATAGTCTCTTGATGATTGTTTTGAAATTGATTGTCTCATCTTGATCAGGCCATTGTCAGTTTTAGGATATGACAGGATATTGCCAAATGGCCCACGGGCTCAGCTGATTCTGTGTCTCACCCATGGCTTCTGTTCCCCAATGAACATCTGCACACAGGTTGACCCATTACCTGATGGAGGCCTAGCCTCCCCCTTGCCCCTTCCCAATGAAGGCTCCACCGCAGGAGAATACTGAAATGAACAGAGAGGTATGTCTAAGCATCTTCAGTCAGAAGACCAAAAACATCTCAGGAAATAAAAAGCTATTAATAACTATATTCTATTATTCTATTTTAGGTACATTGTCGTTTAAAGGGCTCTTGTAACTTTTTTCCTCTGGAAATTAGCCATTTATAACTTTTTCTTTCTTCATGTGGAACTCTCTGAATTCCAACTAATCAATCCAACTACTTTTTTTTTTTTCTTAAAAAAAATCAAATCAAATTGGAGTCTGCTCAGTTAAAGCATTTCTCTGGAATTTGAGGTCTCACAGTAAAATAAATATATCTCAAATAGCGAAAACACTTATATGTCTAAGACAATTAAAATGCTCTCTTAAAATCCAAAATGTTTCATAAAAACATTTGATTCTGAATTAAATACTTTAATTCCCTAAACTCTGTCTAGGTCAAACCCTATCCTCTCTTACAAATGCATCTGTGAACATACCAGCAAGGTCATCACATTGGCTTTTTCAGACCAGTCACATATTCATGACCCTTAAGGGAAATCCGAGTCATTCCTGCTTGGTAGAGGTGCATCTTCAAAGTCCTCTTCCAGACTCGAAGGGATCCTTGCAACTCCAAAGAGGGTATCCTGCCTTTTTAACCCTTTGAGGGTCCAGCCAACCATGAGGTCTTAGTTTCACAACAGTCTGAGTCCAAGGCAGTTTCATGTACATTTCCGTGCTCAGCAGCACAAGAAGTTGCTGACATCATGGCAAAGACAACAGAAGGGCCGCTCATGGTTCCTCTCTCTGACTTGGCAGCTGAGTGGTCAGCACACTTAGACGTCGCTTGACCCATCTTTCCAGTCCCTCTCCACTTCTTGAGGGCTGCAGTCCTCTCCTCTGGAGTCAGTCTGTCCAAGTGCTTAGCCCTCAGGAGTGGAGACGGAAACAGGGATCCCTGAAGAACTCGGTAGATAAACCTAGGTTACAAAAAGCATCACGGAATTACCTTCACCTCAAATGCATCAGAGGACACAAAAAATACTCACCAATTAGAACTAGTAGAAGGGTGGTCTGGTGGCCCCCTTGGGGTAAAGGGGGAGGATAAGCAAAATATAAAATAGAAATGACAACAATATTAAATAAATTAATATTTGTAAAGCACTTAAGAAGTAGTGAGTGCCTTATGCGTGCTTGTTAAACAAATAAACAAAAATGTATAATAGTAGAGATACCAACAGTGCTGCATCATAGGTGTAATGTTAGGTTAAATAAGAAAGTACATGTAAAGCAGGCAGTGTTGGCACATAGCAAGTGTTCAAAAAAAATGTTAGCTATGAATGGCTTACAGCTACGGTAACAAATTACCACAAACTCGTCCTGCAGCTGGCAGTGTTTATGCTGTTATAGCATTCTCAAAAGCCTTGTGGGTCGCCAGTGTATGCCATGGGGTCTATGCCATTAGATAAGAGGGTCTTCCACAGATCTTTCCTGTATAATCCCATCTCCTCTCTTGAAGGCTGTAGAGATGGAAGAGCAGCGGTTCTCAACCTGTGGGCCGCAACCCCTTTGGGGGTCGAACGACCCTTTCACAGGGGTCGCCTAAGACCATCGGAAAACACATATAATTACATATTGTTTTTGTGATTAATCACTGTGCTTTAATTATGTTCAATTTGTAACAAGGAAAATACATCCTGCATACCAGATATTTACATTACGATTCATAAGAGTAGCATAATTACAGTTATGACGTAGCAACAAAAATAATTTTATGGTTGGGGGTC